GGAGGTACTGGGGATTGAACCCAGGACCTCCTGTATAATAAACAAGCATACTGCCACTGAGCTCTACCCTCCCCTCCAAACACACTGAACTTGAAATTTCACAAGAAACTTTTGTTAATGGGAGGACAGGTATTCAGATTCCTGTTGGACCTATGGATTGAGTGGATGGTGACTGGAAGTTGTACTTGACTTCCAGTGCTGAGCTGCTTAGAACCTCAATGCAATCACGTATTTTGTAATGAGGAAATGCCTGATCACATTTCAAAAACAGAGATTTAAAAAATGAACACAAAAGAAACACAAAATACAACTTAATCAACTTTAGCCATTTTACACTTTCAGAAGAGATCAACAGCTTTTGATGAGTATGAATTGTGCTTTAAGATTTTGTATCAGCTTTTAAAGAACAAATCTCCAGATATGTTAGAATTATCCAGCCAAAATTGTGGCTTGTTTTCAAGAGAAGCAGATTGAGATGGAAGTAAACTATGCTAGACAGAAAGACACTGTCTCAAATTTTGGAAACATATGCGTGGATCCCAGAGCTATCTGGAAATTTTTGCTTTGTAAAAATTGAGTCTACACAGCTCTGTGAATGAACTTGTTCTTCATGAAATTGCTAAATTAAGGCTAAGAGCCATCTTTAGTGGTGTAAGTCTGAATTAAAATAAAGTTAGCTGTGTGGTTTTGAATGGATAAAGTTGATAAAATACATTTTTGTTACTTTTAAATTACATTTTAAAATAGGGACAGAGCTTAATTCACTGCTGTTAATAAGTAACTTCATGCACAAATTTCTGATTATACTATGACACGGCTATTTTATATAGCATCTAAGTTCATTTTATTTATACTGAATATTTAATGTGTTTTCTGATTATATAAATTTATATATGTTTCTATTTAGGCTAGAAAATAGAACACAATAAATATCAATACCAATGAACTTTACTAAGGTACATAATTTTTTAAACAAATATGTCTTGAACTCTTAACTGAGTTTCAGCCACTAAGCTAAGTGATGGAGTTACAAAGGGTGAAGAACACACACAGTCCCTGCCTGCCCTCACAGAACTCAGGCTGGTGCACAGTACAGACAAGTAAACATGCAAATACAACACTATGTGATAGAGCCGTAATGGAGAATTATAGGAAAGGGATGCCCAGGAAGACTTCCTGGAAAAAGAAGCATCTTCGCTGAGACCAGGAGAATGAGTAGGAATCAGTCTAATATACGTGGGAAAGGGAGAAGGGGAAGATTGTTCCAGGCAGAAGAAACAGCAAGTACAAGACAAGAGAGGAAATGCGGCTAGGTGTGGTGGAGAAACCGAAAGAAATTTGGGGCTGGAGAGCAGAGTGAGGTCGAGGAGCACTCAAAACACCGCTGGAGAGAAGTATGCAGGACCCAGATGCTGAAGGATCTAGAAAGCCTCAGTGCGGTTTTGGGGCTTTACCCTCAGGCCAACAGAATGCCTCTGAGCGTTTAAAGCAGGGTGATGGTTTGATCAGATTTGCTCTTTGTTAAGGTCACTTTGAGCGCTCCGTCGAGAATGGTTTGGAGGGAAGCAGGAGTGCACGCAGCGGAACCAGTTAAGTTAGCGTAGACACCCGGGCTGAACGTCGTTCATAAACTAGAGAGGGGGCGGCGAAGATTAAGAACGAGGGGGAGGGGGATTTGAGACATTCTGTGTTTAAGGGGGTAGAATTCACAGGACTTGGCAATGACTCGGATGTGACGTGTGAAGGAGTAATCAAGCACGACTGCCGGGTTTGACTTGAAGGAGTCGTTCACTGAGTCGGGTAACACAGATGGAAGAGATATGGGGGAAAGATAAGATGGCACAAGAAATACTGATATTTAAGAAATAAGATTAAGAGGGTGAAGGACCCCCAGTTTGAGCCGAGCAGGGATGACTGCTCTGGGCACCGAGCACTGCCGCCTCCTCCACCTTGCCGCCCACGCGACCAGCTAGGGCAGCGAGCAACGCGATGAAGGAGACCCTACTCTGCGCACAGGCCGAGCCTTGCGCATGCCCAGTGGGTGCTGTGCGCCGAGCCTGCGCAGTTGGGGGAATTCGGGCTCTTGGGATCCCCGCCCGCTCGTAGCCTGCAGCCCCTAGGCGCCGGCAGCGCTACCTCTCCGCGCGGCCCGCCGCCCGGCACTCCCGCCCCTTCCGTGTTTTGGTCGCGCACGGGTTCCGTCAGTCCCAGCTGCGATTGGCTTCTAGAGGGATCCGAGAGCGCCGATTGGCGGTCTTCGGCCGTCGCTCAAGCGCCCTCCCCAAGACGGTGTGAGGTGGGAGGAGAGCTGAAGAGACCCGGGAGCCGACAGACGGTAAGTTGAAGGCTCCGGGCTTGGCGGGGTGGCCTCGGGGTACTCTCTGGGCCGGCTGCCGATGCCAGGCTTTCTCCCGGTCGCTTCGGCGAGGCTTTCTCTTGTAGCACGGCAAAGCTGGTCGGCCTGGCGCCTACAGCGCCCCGGGCCGGCAATCCCGACTCGAACTTCCCTGCTTTCCGGGCTGGGGCTTCATTGCCGCAGACACACGGTCACCACCAGGTCTTAGGGGGAAGCCTGCGCGGCTGCGGCTGAGAGGTTTACCCCTCGAGTCGGTCTCCTTCTTTCCTTCCGAATTTTACCCGTGCCCCAGGGGCCCGGTCCTCACCGCTTAGTGCAAGCCTTTCCTGTTTCGCCTGCCCGTTGGGATTTCTTCCGGTACAGCTCTCCCTCTTCGAGCGCTTTGTTTTGGTTGTTGTCTAAACACATCAGTCTTATTTCTTCTGGCCAAATTGTGAGTCCTTAGGAGGTTCCGGACCTGGGTCCCTCCTTTTTTTATATACTATTCAGGGTTCATTTGGTGCCTTGAGTTAGAATTTATGCTCCTAAGTACTTGCTGATTGCTTCTTACAATGACTCATTGATGCAGGAAAAACGGATGTGGGGCGTGAGGAGTGCCGTGTCCCAGGCTTCTGGTGAGCCCCTGGGACGTGCCCTGTCAAGTGTGGGTCCTTGGCTTCACACAGGAAAGAATTAAAGAGCGAGCCACAGTTGAGTAAAGGTAGATTTATTCAGAGAGCTACATTGAAAGGCAAGAGAAAGGCCACGAGGTGTGGGGGTTGGGTGCTCAGATTAAAAGTAGGTACATGCTCCATAGAGCATAGAGTGTGGGCCATCTCAGAAGAGGGAGACACAGTGGTCGGCCCAGAGGCACCGTGTTGCCAGTTTTTATGTCTTCAGGGGCTTCATACGCTAATAAGTGAAAGGACCAATCTAACTAGTCTGGGGAAGGGGCTGGGATTCCCAGGAAGTTGGCCATTTCCCACTCTGACTTTTTGTGGGTAGCTTTGGACTGCCATGGTGCCTGTGGGCATGTTATTCACCATGTTAATATATTACAATGAGTGTATAATAAAGCTCAAGATCTTCTAGAAGTCAAATCTCCCACCATGTTGAGCTTCAGTGCCTACTGGGGGTTGAATCTTTCACCATTTTTATGTTAATTGCTGTAGCATTTGTTGAACAGCTGTGCCCTGCCCTCTTCCTGTCTCATCATGATGAAAGGAAGTTTTGGAATCCTTGAGGTTGTTCCTTTCTAGGTCTTTTCGTAGAATTCGTCCTTTGAGCATCTCAGCCCCCAGAAGCAAGGATACGATAAGCCAGCACATGTTGAGTTCCAGCGGTGTCATACTAAGCATTTTGATATCCATTATCTGGCTTAACCAATAAATCAATTCAGTGAATCAGGCATGATTATTCCCATGCTGCGTGGAAAACCTGGGCTTAAGTAACTTGCCTAAGGTCACATAGCTAGTAAAAGTTGGAGCTTTCTATCAAATGTGTTGAATCCTTCACGCATTGCTGTGATATCAGTATCCTATTTTACATTTAAGGAAACAGATTCAGAGAAGCTAGGTGATCTGTCCAAAAGTAAAGTAGTAAGTTACAGATTTACTTAAACATTAAAAGAGCATGTAATAGGTGCACGCTGGACCTGAAGTTAGAACTGAACAGAGTACAGGCCAAGATTTCTAGAAGCTTACAGCTTATTGGAGGAAACTGCAAAATAGCTACTCAATAAAACATGCTTTGGGTATTTTGTATACAGGTACAATGTCTGTGGGGATGAGAGAATCAGACAAGAAGAGTGTCGACTGAAAGTATAAAGCCTAAAAGTTGAGATGTTTTATTCAGTTGACATTTCTGAGGACTCAAACTCCTTCGAGCCCGGGATGGTAGCCTCCCAGATGGCTCTGAGGGACTGCTCTGAAGAGGTAGGGGAGGAGCCAGGATATATAGGAGTTTTACAACAAAGACCAGGTAGTCGGAACGTTAGAAGATTACTTGTTAACTGAAGAAAATCAGACACCTCAAGTTTAAGAATTTAGCGCTTTTCTATCTATGGGAGGGAGCAAACATTTGGGCTCACTGAAATCATTTCTTTGACAAGCACCTAGCTGTCACATTCTGAGTCCCCTCAGGCTGCAAGAGACCGGGCTGTGCCTGTTTGTCTTCACTGTAGGGGGTAAGATGGGAAGATGTAGGCGAAGAATGGAGCTGAACCCCCTGGCTCTCAATACTGTCTGCATCACTTCCTAGCTTTGTGATCTGGGTAAATTCCTTAACCTACCTGGGCCATTTCCTCATCTATGAAGTGGGATAATAATGGTGCCTACTTCAACAGGGTGGTTGTATCAATGAATTTTTATACATATAAGACACTTAGAACAGTGCTTGGCATGTAGTAGATGCTAAATGGCTATTATATTATTCTAGACTGAGCAAACTCATTTGAGACAGGAAACTTGAACCCAGGTCTTCTGAGAACCCTCATTTGCATTCCTTGCTTATAGAAAGAGGAGTGGTGACCAGAAAGTTACTTTGTCCTACAGCTCCCCAGGGTAGAAACAAGCAGGGCACAGGGAAAGAAAGTAAAGAAAGCTGGGGGGACAGTGAAAGAGGGATTTGCCTAAGTTTCAAGTCATTCTGGATATCTAGAGAGCCTGTCTCCTGGACCTTATCCACCAGCCTGACAACAGCTATGTGTTTAGAATATTTATGCTTAGCCTTGTGCTGGACACAGTACAGGGACATGGGCATGATGTGGTATCTACTCAGAAGCAGCTAATGTCCAGTTGGGTAAATGAGAATAGAACACAAAACAACCATGAGTGACCATGGGCAGCATGAAAAAAAGGTTGAGGTTTTCTGGTTTCATCTATGCTGGCCATCAGACCAAGAAGCAGGAGTCATCTGAGGGACTGGGTAGTTTAGGAAGGCTTCTTGGAATGTAGTCATATCCTCACATTTATTGAGTGTCTTGAGGGTACGAAGCTCTGTGCTCATGCTGGGAATGAGAAGTGAAGAGATGGTCACTGCCCTGAGACGCTCCTAGTCTAGAGGAGACACATTCCATTCCATTTAACAGGATGCTGGGATGAAGGTGTGTGTAGAGTGCTGTGGGAACAGGGGGTGGGGTATTTCACCTGTACCTGGGTGAGTTGGGAAAGGGCTCACCAAGGAGGGGACATTTGGGCTTGAAACATGAGTAGAAGTTGCTTAGGCAGAGAGTTTTAGGAGAATGTAATGTGTTTAGGAACAAAGATAATTGAATCAGAGAAGAAGAGGGAATTAATAGACAGGTGTTGGGGGACGAGCACGATCTTTGGATTAGAATCAGGGCACCAAATGAAGGGAAGTTTGGAAGAGGGCTCTCTGCAGGGCTGACACATGTAGGCCCTCATATGTGTTAGTTTCCTTACCCAGCTCCTGGCGAGGTAAGTTTAGGCCAGTTGAAGAAGAGCCCTGCATGCCATGCTCAATGGACTTGATTCTGTAGGTAGCAGAGGAGGTTTGGGCTGTTATGTCTGACTTTAGACGACTTTCCCTACCTTTTCTTCCCCCAGATTATAAAAGTAGTCCACATTTTCTCCTAATAGGGCTTCAGTATTATTCTGTGAGCAGCCCAGCAACCCCAGGTACACACACACCCCAGAATGCCAGGGGTGACTGGCTGCTTCTCAGAGGAGCAGCAAGGCTGTGGATTAAGAGGGGGTTTCTTTGGTAAGCAGTTAGGTATAGTAGGTTCTTATACTTATAGACGTGAAGGATTTTATGCATTTTGTATTTTCTGGTTTTTTCCTTCTCAGTATGTAGTTAAGTTCTTTTTCAGAGTTCCCACCTATTTCATATAGGCCAGAGGGAACACTCCCTTCCTGGGTACCACAGTGTGGGCAGCAAGAATCAGTGAGAATCCTCAAGCAGGAGACGATAGTCAGGGGACAGAGTCAGGGCCTATTAAATGTTCTTTCTCCCCCCAGAAATTTTGCTTGCAGTGTCATCTGTTATTCTGTTTTGTTTTAATGAGGAAGACTATTCTTTTATTGTTCCTAAAACTCTGCTCCCAGAACTACCCCATTACAACTAGGGTGCTGAGTTAAAAGGGCAGATTTCTAGCTTTAACCCCATCCTTCCAGAATCTGAACCTCTAGGGGAGGGCCTGGAAAACTGCATTTGTGTGCATATTAAAGATTGTGAACTTTTAGTTTTTCATTCAGCTTTTTCAACAAATATTTATTACATGCCTAAGCATGCCTAGTATACACCCGGTATAACTGGACAGATAACTGCCTCTTATGTCAAATGGAATTTACATTTTAGTTCAGAGGATGTTAGGGCAGTGGTGGAGTAGACCACTGGGTAGATTAGGCAAAAGGAGTTTGTATGACATTTTGAAAGTCTAGTGGGGAACTTACGACCTGATACAGTAAGAAATAAGGAGCTTCTAGGCTCATCTGTGTGGATTAGAAAGAATATGGACTTTGGAGTCAGTGTGACCTATGTGTGGTCTTGAGCAAACCAGTTAACCTCTCCAAGCCTTAGGGCCTTACCTACAAATGAAGTTAAAAATAGTACCTAACTCAGTGGGTGGTGTTGGTAATTAAATGACACAATGTAAATAAAGTGCTTAGTAAGATGCTTGGTGTACAGGAAGTGTGAAATTAAAAGCAAAAGAGTTTGTTATCCCTATTTCAAAGGTGAGGTTGTTCAGGAGTAGAAGGGTTAAATTACTTGGCCAGGGTCATGCAGCTAAGTGGTTGGTAGACAGAGGAGTCTGGATTTGAACTCCAGTCATCCTCCAAAGCCATCTCTTTGAACTTGAGCATTGTTCTGCCTCCTGTAGGAATAATTTCTTCTTGGCAGGTTGCTCTGAAGCTTCTTGAAAAAATGTCTGTTAAAGTTCTTACCTCAGAGCCTGGCACACATTCAATAATGTTAATTTGTGTTCTCCTTTCCCAGGGACAACAGACAGCTTCCAGAGGTTTGAGGAACCAGTATTCCATCCTCATTGAAAAGGCATGAGGTTTCTCACAGGTCACTGGGAAAATGCCTCCTGGTTCTAGGCAGGCTGCCTGCCCAGCTGTTGACCCCCAGCAACACTTGGGTGGAATCGTTGCAACTGCTGATTTCTTTCTCCTCCTCTAGGGTGAAGGCCATGCCGCCTCCTGGGAAAGTTCCCCGAAAGGAGAACCTTGGGCTACAGTGTGAGTGGGGGTCCTGTTCCTTTGTGTGCTCGGCCATGGAGGAGTTCTGCGAACACGTTACTCAGCACCTGCAGCAGCACCTGCAGGGCTCTGGGGAGGAGGAGGAGGAGGACCCGCTCGGTAAGGGAGCAGTACACAGGAAGGGAAGGAGCTCACGGGATGGTGGAAAATCTGATTTTCCTTGCCCTAGAGGGAGAAGGCAGCCTGCAAGGGCAGTGGTTTATTTTCCTAATTATGTGGGAGTTTTTTGTTTGTTTGTTTATAAAAACATTGCAGATTGATATAGAAAACTCATTCAACAGAGATTATGGAATGAACCTGCCATCAAAAGTCAATTATGAGCAATACTTAGTGAACATTCTTTTTGACCTCTCTCTGCATGTGTATACATAAATTAGATAAATATGATTTTATTTTTTAAAAAAGGATCATATTGTACAAACTTGGCAACTTTCTGTTTTCACTCCAGTTAGGTATACATTTTACATCATAACCCTGTACACAAAAGTTAAAAAATACTTAAGACAATATTTGCCTTTATTAAATGCTATCTGAAATGTTCAATCTTATTTTCTATCGTTTAAAAAAATGTGGTTTGCTATCCCCTAAATTGATTCCACTACCCACTAATGGTAAACAACACAGTTTGAAAAACAGTGTTCTATAGGAAGTACAGATAGAGCTCTCGTTCCCCCACCTTCAATTCTGTTTTATGTCTAGTACCTGTTAACTATAACTAATAGCTTCAAAAGTCAAGTAATATTTATACAAAAGAGAAATTAGGGGATTATTATATTTTCCTAAGTATCTACTTTTAAAACAAGTAAATCCCTATAAAACATTGAAAATACGGTGCTCAGAGAGATGCAAGAGAGACAGGAAATGAATTGGAGTAGTCAGTGGGCCTTCTAGAGAAGGCAGAACATGGGAGAAAGAAGGACTTTCGGTTTGACAGGAAGGAGTGGGAGGTGTCCCAGGGTCTTCCTGGAACAGCAGAAACTCCGAGCACATGCCAGCCACACCTGTCGTCTCTGAGTCGCTGGCACTGGGCCTTGTACACAGTCCCCCTGACTAGACCACGCTTGCCCTCCACCTCGTTGCAATCATATACATGATTATTTGATGTCTTTTTCTCCCTGACTGAAAGTAGTGCAGGGGCAAGGACTTTTACTTGTTGTATCCCTGGTGCCTGACACACAATTAGTGGTCGTTAAATACTGGTATTTGCTGAATGAACTCCTGGTAGTTTAGTCAGTCCAGCCTCCTCACTTGCTGCTAAGTGAATGGAGAGCTTTGGAAAGTATCATACTCTTCCTTCTAAACCCCTTTCTGCAGAGGAAGAATTCTCCTGTTTGTGGCAGGAGTGTGGCTTTTGTTCTCTGGACAGTTCTGATCTCGTCCGCCACGTCTACTTCCATTGCTACCACACCAAGCTGAAGCAATGGGGGCTGCAGGCCCTGCAGAGCCAGGCTGATCTCAGCCCCTGCATCCTGGACTTAAAGAGCCGCAACCTCATCCCTGACATCCCTGAGCACTTCCTGTGTCTGTGGGAGCACTGTGAGGTCAGTAGGCAGAGCTGGTAATAGGGATGGAGGGAAGTTGGGGTTCTTAGCTCAAGATGCCTGGACCTTTTCAGGGATGCCCAGTATTCCTGAGGTTTCTGCTAGTATCCCTCTTCCATTTCCGGGTAGCCCCCTCGCTTAAACTTCCCTGTACCCACCAAGTTAATTTGGGAGAGAGCCAAGAAGCCCTCTTCGGACACCTAAGTGTAAGAGTCCCTCTACCTACCCTCAGTCCTTACCCCAAGTTGCACCTGGCACAGAGCTCCTTCGACAATCCCGAGTGGTTCTATCGGCACGTGGAAGCACACAGCCTGTGCTGTGAATACCAGGCAGTCGGCAAGGACAACCACGTGGTGCTGTGTGGCTGGAAAGGTAGGGCCACTCCTTAATTTCTGACCTCCAAAGAAACCCTGGGGTTGCTAAGGGGTTAGGGCAGCTAGGGGTGGGACCAGTCCTACAGGACAAGGTTGGCTACTTGCTGGAGAGACTTGGGGGTACCAGAGCCTACTCTGAGGGTTTGTGGCTGGACCCAACTGTGCCTTCCTTCCCAGACTGTACCTGCACCTTCAAGGACCGCTTTAAGCTTCGAGAGCACCTCCGCAGTCACACCCAGGAGAAGGTGGTGGCCTGCCCCACCTGTGGGGGCATGTTTGCCAACAACACCAAGTTCTTAGATCACATCCGTCGCCAGACCTCATTGGATCGTAAGTAATCAGAGTAGAAGGGGAGCGGGTGCAGGCTGTCCTGCTTGGGGTGGGGGTTGGAGGCATATTCCCGGGACAGGAGGCCCCTGAAGTTATCTGCGACTTGGCTACATCTGCCTTGAAGGCTCAGTCATCTGCCACGCAGTCTCTGCTGATTGAGACTCATTAGACACTGTTATTCCGTGCTTACTGTGTGTCATAGCTCTTCTCAGTGACTCCTCACAGCAGCCCCATGAGGTAGGCTTCTTATCCCCCTTTTTGCAGATGAGGAAACTGAGGCTCAGAGAGGTTAATCATTTACCTGAGATCACACAGCTAGTAAGTGGTCAAGCCGGAATTCTAATTCAGGTTTTTGAGTCCAAGTCCCATGCTCTTTCCACTATACTATGTCCATCCCTAGTTCCCTAGGCTCCCCTTTTCTCTTGGGGGGAGGTTCCCTTCCACCTGGGATGGTTCCCCCCTCCCGGGTTCGCACTCTTTTGCCTCTTCACCATCCCCCACAGCCCACCCTTTCTTCTGCCCACCCCACCAGAGCAACACTTCCAGTGCTCTCACTGCTCCAAGAGATTTGCCACAGAGCGGCTGCTGCGGGACCACATGCGTAACCACGGTGAGTGGCCATCACCCCCATCCTCCTGGCCTGCCCTCTGAGGTTCCACTGGCCCTCAGATCACAGCCTGCTCTCTGCCCCTCTCAGTGAATCACTATAAGTGCCCTCTGTGCGACATGACCTGCCCGCTGCCATCCTCCCTCCGAAACCACATGCGCTTTCGCCATAGCGAGGACCGGCCCTTTAAATGTGACTGTTGTGACTACAGGTAAGAGGAAACAGGGCCCAGAGATCAGACTCAAGTTCCAGGGTCCCCCATGCCCTCTAACCTTTGCTTACCTCTCCCGGCAGCTGCAAGAATCTAATCGACCTCCGGAAGCACCTGGATACCCATAGCAAGGAGCCAGCCTACAGGTGTGATTTTGAGAACTGCACCTTCAGTGCCCGCTCGCTCTGCTCTATCAAGTCCCATTACCGAAAAGTGCATGAAGTGAGTGGGGCTGGTGGTAGGGAAGGGCCTGCAGAAGTGCGGGGGAGCCAGGAGGAGAAGCTGGCCTTACTCTCCCTCTGCTCCCCATCAGGGAGATTCAGAGCCAAGATACAGATGCCACGTGTGTGACAAATGCTTCACAAGGGGCAACAGCCTCACTGTACACCTTCGCAAGAAGCACCAGTTCAAGTGGCCTTCAGGACACCCCCGTTTTCGGTATGTCTTTCAACAACCCTCTCCTTCCCACATTTTTCCCCATGCCGTTCAACAATTTACAGACCTTGAATTTGATGATGCTTTGGTATCAACCATCTCCATTTAGGCTCAAGGAACCTTGAGAACAGTGGTTGGGCAAAGATTATTTTTCTGATTTTTGTTTTGAATCTAAGGCACAATGCCAAACCCAATAAATGATGCCATAAGTCCTGCAGCCGGAACCAGAGCTAGGGCCTAAGGGTCCTGATCTGTAGCTCCATGGCCTTCTCATAAATCCTTTGACAATCCTACCATCCAACACAGATCATTTCTCTCCTTCCCCTCCCCTCCCCCTCCATTTTGAGTAAGGATCCATCTTGCCTTTTCTTCTAAATACTCCAATAAAAATCTTTTTTGGCTTTTACCTCCATCACTTAGAATCCTAGGGCTTCTTCCTTCCCTCGTATTGTCTCCTACCTCACCAATTTCCAGGCCATTTCTGCCTCCCTCTGCCCATGTTTGCTGCCCCCTGTGCTCCCCCTTCACCAGGTACAAGGAGCATGAAGACGGTTACATGCGGCTGCAGCTGGTTCGCTATGAGAGTGTAGAGCTGACCCAACAGCTGCTGGGGCAGCCACAGGAGGGATCGGGCCTGGGAGCATCCCTGAATGAGAACAGCCTGCAGGGGATCATTCTGGAAACAGTGCTGGGGGAGCCAGGACCTCAGGAAGAGGTGGAAGAGGCTGAAGAGGAAGAGGAAGGCGGGGGCAATGAGCGGGCATCCCTGGCAGCCTCTCAGGACACTCCCAGCCCTGTCATCCACATGGTGAATCAGACCAACACCCAAGGCGAACGAGGGATTGTCTACTATGTGCTGTCTGAAGCCCCGGGTGAGCCACCCCCCAGCCTCTGAGTCCCCCTCAGGGGGTGTCATGGAAAAGCTTCAGGGACTAGCTGAGGAGCCGGAAGTCCAGGTGATGTAATGATGTAAAGGCTGCAGCGCCTGACCATTGCTACCCCCCAGGCCCGGGGTTTGAGCCCGGCTGGTGGCAGTACCCCTAGTGGGTCCAACAGATGCCTTAGGAGTGGTGCCGAGAGCAGTGTGGTCCACTCTGGGCCCAGCTGGCATCATTTGGCAGACTGAGGTCTTCCCATTTCTGCCACACCACGATTTGTGGGGATCCTGAGGAGTTTGGATTCCTTGAGGGGAGGTACCCTAGTTGTGTGTGTTCTTGTAACGGGGTAGTGTCAGGCTTAACCATAACCCCCTAGATGTGCGGGAACAGTGGTTAAAGTCCTTCATCAACTTGAATCCACTCCCATCTTTAGGGGACCCTAGGCCCAGGGATGACATGTAACCGGTCCTTGCAAGGGCCCTTTCCTCAACAACCATCCGAGGCGTCATCAACCAGGCAGTCGTTTCCCTCTAAATGGTTCTTCCTACAACCCCAAGAACTTACATGGTTATCCTCAGGGATGGCATTGGAGGCACTGAGCGTGTGCGTAACATTTGTTTTTGGTAATAAAAGAAACACTTGGGCTGTTACTCATTTCTTCTTCCTTACATTTGGTGGTATTGCCTAGGTAATGAGGAGATATGTCTGCCCAGACAACGAGCTGAATGATTAAGTTTGTTCCCCTTTTAGGGACTGGGATTTGTTTTTGTTTGAAACTGGCCTCTTGTTCCCTGCTCTCCCACCCCTGCCTTACCTTTGGTGAAACTTCTCCATTTCTTCTCGGAACATCTACCATCTCCATGGAGGTCCCAGGCATAGGCCAGGAATGGGCAGTAGAACACTCTAGAGTGGGTAAGTGAGGCTCACCAGGAAGATAGGGCACCCCACCATGGCCACACTCTCTGAGTGCTGGTTAGACCCAGTGTCTCTGGGGTGGGGGTGGATATGGAGGGAAGGGAAGGTACTCAGGGTCCAGGAACCAAGTTAGAAATGGTGTCTGGATGTGTATTTTCCTGGGGAAATGATCGTGGCTTTGTTTTGTTTTGTTTTGTTTTCATTAGATTCTCAAAGGGGTTGGAACCCTTCAAAATAAGAACCTTATTTTTTTGGCCTGTCCAGTCACTCCTTAGTGCCCTGTGTCTATTTTTAGTGTCTCTGACATTCTGGAGAGGTCAAGGAAATACTGTGAAGGGTCTTGGATGGGCAGGAAGCTGCCACAAAAGGTTTCTGGGCCTTCTTTTAAAAGACTAATGTGATTCTTACTGCAAAAACTGAGTGCCTATTGCTGAAAGAATCAAGGAAGAAAAGTCTCTTCATTCATTCCATCCACCATTTACTGAGTTCCTCCTATAGTTCAGGCACTGTGACAGGTGTTAATGATACAAAGATGAATAAACTGAGGACCTGCCCTGGGGGGACTTGCAGTCCAGCAGTGAGGAAAGACCTAAGTAAGTGGAGTGAGAGGCCTGTCAGGGTTCACTTAGGAGGCTCAAAGTAGAAGCTGACAGTATTACTTGGGCAAGGGATCAGCAAGGGGCTTCGTCAAGGAAGTGATTAGAGCTACTATCTACGAAGGGACGGGCAGGTTATTCCAGGCAGAGGAGACCAGGTCTATACACGAACCTCAAGGAGCGCTTTATGGTCTGAGCCCAGAAGGGCAGTAGGCCAAGGAGAGAGGCAAGACTGAGAAGGAAGGCAAAGCCACCCAAAAGGACCGTGTCAAGTTTTTAGGACGAGGGTTCTGCTGATGACGGGGAAAGTAAATCGGAAGAGTGCGAGAGCAAGCGGGTGCAAGTTAGGGGCTGCTGCAGGAATTCAGGCAGGAAACAGTGAGGGCTTGAGGGTCAAGTTGAGGTGGATGCTCACTTTGCCTCTGCAAGAACCCCTTCAAGAAATGGCAGTGTGGAGGAGAGAGGAAACATGAATGAAGACGTCCCCAAAGTGGAGCCGCTGCATTTCCAGGCTTGTTTCTTTAGAACCCTGTACTAACTTTGTGACCCACACCTTGTTCCTCCACTCAGCACGTGTGTAATCCCACTTTCCCCACCAGGCCTTCAGGTAGTTGAACACGAGGGAGGCTTCTTTGGGCTAAGTACCCTCTGTCTCCTCTTTACCTCCTTGTATCGTATAGTTTTGGGTCTCCTCTCCACCCCACCTCCTCGGGGCCTGTGCTTTTGGTGGTCACGCTGTGCCCTCGGTTTATGGTGATGCCACTGCCCTCTAGAACCCCTCAGCCTTCACATGTCTCGTTACTGCCCAGAGCACGCTCCTTTGCTTTGGATGAGTGCAGTGGTTATCTTGCACTTAACAGCAGACCCTCGTGCTTGTCCTCATTTGGTTTTGTCTTGTTAGATTTGATTGACAGCTGTTCCCAAGTGGTAGGTTAAAAGGTTGACTGGAGCAGGGCCAGAGGCAGACCCTCAAACGCAAGTGGCTATCAAGACCAGAGGAAGACTGAGGGCTCTGAATCCTGAAAAGAAACTGGTGCCCCATTCTCTGTATAATTCAAAATGAAAATACTAAACCAGGAAGCATACAAGGAAGTTCAACATGATGATACTTACATATATATGAACTATCAAATTCTGGTCTCAGTTTTTTCCTTTCATTTTTTGGTGTCTCTATTTTGCTGGTCTTTTAAGCAGTGGCTTGGTCTGCCCCTTGAGTAACCCAGCATTACTGGTGCCATCCATCTCTCAGCTGAGCAGTGCCTTCAGAATCAGGCTAGCACCCTGTGAACAGGGCCTTCCCTGCCTGTCTTATTTGTCATGCCCACACCAAACCCCATTGCTCTCTCTGGACTATGGGGACAGCAGAAGACGTTCTGGCCTGCTACCACATGATTCCAGTTCTCCAGGAGGAGGGCATCCTGGGCTCTGTGTACATGGGCTGGAAAATGATGGATTATTGAGTCTAAGCAGTCATTTTGGTGGGTCAGTGGAAGGATACTAGAGGTTGGGGGTGGGTAACCCTGGGTAGCAGACCCCTGGAGGGAGAGGATGCCAGTACTAATTTGATTGCCTTAGAGTTTTATCTAGAGTCAGTCCCTGAGTCAGACACCACAGTATCTGAAGATTAAGGAGACACTTAACTCTTCCTCGAAGGTGTGACGACAGGAAGAGAAGGCAGGTGGCCCAGGAATGTGGAAACTAATGCTGTTTTGTCTTATTTGGGGCAAGTCCGCAACCTCAGAGAAGGGCGCGGAAGAGCTTAGTGGATGTAAAATAAGTGATTCTGCAAGGTGAGAAGAGGGAGGAATAGTCATGGGCAGTAGTCATTTCTGTCAGATTATGACCTAGTGAGTGTAGCCTCTCTATGAACGGTAAATGAGTGAATGAATTTGCTCAAGATCGGGAATCCCACAGTGCACTTTGCGCATAAGGAGCATGCTCATTTCCCATGCAGTATAGGTGAAAGGTTTGGGGAGAGTGTGAAAACTTTTCATACTGTGCTAAAAAGCTTGAATTCTTGACTGAGCAAAGGCTATGGAAGACAGGCAGATAAACAAAGCTTGGAAAGGAATAGAGACACCCCTTCCTTCAAGTAGAGGGAGGGAGGGATGGGAGGGGATCGGATCCAGTTTGTAGGAAGTGTGAGGTGTGAGGGATTTCATGCCTGGCTGTCTCTATTTCCTTAATAAAGTAGGGATTAACATTATTGAGGGATAATCTGTTGGATTAAGGAGATTTATAAGAATTGTCAAGTTTTAGAAATGCCACTTATAGATATAAGAGTGAGATACATCACCTGACCACCCAGCTGAGGCTGAATACTGAGATCCAGCAGTGGCAGTTTCAACACAACCAGACACTTTTTTGTAGCAGATATGAGCACCCCTGAAGCAAAAGCAGAAAACAGACCACTGGGTTGATCTCAGCCATTGGGCCAAGGAGCAGGGTAATTAGAACATCCAGACAAGGGTCATGACATCCACACTGGACAGGGAGGCCCTGGGAGACTGGTAGGGAAGAGTTAGAATCAAATACAGTGAGCCATGATCAGAAAGGGGGCATTTTTAAATGGAGCTATTTAAGAGCCCAGAGTATGTCCACAAGGAAGTAGCCTGCTCAGTGGAGACTGAGGTCATTGGAGTAGCAAAGATCCAGGGAAATAAGGTGTTTTGAACACCTACGAGCAATGACTTTTCTACCTACCCTCCAGTGGAGTGGGCCCTGTGTTAGGAGCAGGGGAACAGGTCCCAGAGGAAAACTGGGCAGACACCTGGTCTGAGACTGCTTCCACGTAAAGGGTACCAAGGGATGTGGTGGGAGTTTGAGTTCTAGGGGAAGGGAAGATGGCAAGCTCAGACTGGGAGGTAGGAAGTGTGGGTTCTCAAGGAAAAAGAGACAGTGACTCTTGGGCAGAGTACCTTGGCATTCTGCAGCTTTGGCGAATCCCTCATTTTCTTTTTATCAAAAGGAAATGGCACTGCACAGCAGGAAAGAGATGGAGAAATAAATATTACTCTTAAAATATCCTTTGATGTTCTTGATTTTATTATATATGTTATATTCTTTTATTTTTAAACAATTAAGATTTTTGTTTGCAACAGCAGGGACTCTGCCTAGTGGGCACCCTCCACTGCCTGGTGTCAGGTGCCTATAACCAACCATCTTTACTGCCTGACTCAGGAAAGGAAGACCTCCATCAGCCTTTATCCACCACTCACTCTATCCACCACTCACTCCCAGGCCCAGTCTGCATTCCCCAACGTGGCCAGCAGAGGGTCCTTCCATTGACAAATATACTTGAAAATCATTCTATCCAAAGATGAGACGTGAGAGATGTGGGCAAGGCAAGCACGGTGGACAAGGAACCTCGGGTGTTGGAAGCAGAACTGGGTCACTTACAAATTCACAAGTCCAATTCCTTCCAGCTCCCTTAGGACCCTGCTACCCACCTTTCTCCACAGGTCCATAAAGCTCCTTACCACCTGCTTCTCCCACAAATCCCTGCTCAGAGCACCCTGTGTCTGCTAGATTAGCTCCCAGCACTAAGCTGAGACAGGAATTTTGCTTCTGCCTTGCTCCTCATAAGCCAATTATCATTAACCCTCACCTATGTGGGTCTAGGGAACCACCCCTTATGGAGACTGCCTAGATGGTGGTGATGGGAGGAGGGGCGGTTCTGGGATGGGAATTGGGGAGAATTCTAGAAATAGGAGAGAATCAATCTCCGGGAATGGAGATCTATATGAGAAAAAGGAGGGGTGGGTGTCCATCTGGGCATTGAGGAAAAGTCTGTGGCAGAAGACTGGAAATTTGTTCTGAGGTTGGGTCAAAGTGTGCCCCCAGACTAGCAGCATTAGCATCACCTAAGGACTTAATAGAGATGCAAATTCTATGGCCCCACCCCAGATACTGAATCAGAAACTCTGGGACTGGGCCCAGTGATCTGCGTTGTAAGAACTCCAGGGTATGCTCATGTATGCTAAGCTTGGGAACCACCGCTCTCAAGTTACGAGGTTTCCAGGAGTTAGAGGTGTGCATTCCGGGGAACCAAAGATCAGTTTGGAGGGATATGTGAATGGAGTTGGTATCTCTAAGAATGGGGAAGGTCTGTCCTAGGTTGACCTCTAGAAGGTTGGAAAGCTTTTATATCTTAGAATGGGAAGAGGTCTGTTCAGGGGACTGGAGCCAAGTCTGCTTCATAAAATAGGATGGTGACACTATTAGGGATCAAGGAAGTTTGACAGTAGGTCAAGTCATGGTTTAGGATCATGTAGTCTTGGATTTGGATCCCTGGATCCATCACATGAGTTGTGTGACCTCATGCTTGTACTTAATATTTCTGAGTTTCAGTTTCCTTATCTGAAACATGGGAGGATAATACTGGCCTCATAAAGCTGTTGTTAGAACTGGTTGGACTGTTTAGTCAACAAATATCTATAGAGGAGCTTTTCTGTGCACAAGTTCTGGAAATTCAGAGGAGAAAGGGACAGACCTAACTCTATCTCTGTGCTGGGCACCTAGCATACAGCAGGCATTCAATAAATGCAGTTGCCCCTACTTTGCTAAGGAAATCGGAGATTCTTCTGGGGGAAATGAAATGACCCTAAACCAAGGTAAGTTTGACCTGAAGAGTAAGGATGTATGATCTGTTCTTTTTTTTTTTTAATTGAAGTATAGTCAGTTACAATGTGTCAATTTCTGGTATACAGCACAATGTCCCAGTCATGCATATGCATACATATATTCAGTTTCATATTCTTTTTCATTAAAGGTAATTACAAGATATTGAATATAGTTCCCTGTGCTATACAGAAGAAATTTGTTTTTTTAATCTATTTTTATATACAGTGGCTAACATTTGCAAATCTCAAACTCCCAAATTTATTCCTTCCCATCCCCTTTCCCCTGATCTGGTCTGCTCTTGAGAAAAAAATTATCTATTGCTAAGCACTTGGACACTTGACTCATAAGAACCTTTTGAGACAGATATGTGGGGTTTTTTCCATCCCCATTACATGGATGAGACTTGGAGAGGTGGAGAAATTTGTACAGAACTAGGAAGAGCACCAAGGTTAGAATGCAAATCTTCCCACTCCAAATTCAGGACATGGGAGATTTGTTCACAAAATGGGGTTAGGGTGTCCTGTGTCCCAGAGAGTCGGGAGGCCTGTTGCAGGGAAGAGAGGGGCCTTTAGTGAGTACATGGCGGGCATTCTAACCCAGACATTCTAATGGAGAGTTCATCTAGGGCAGTGGCTCTCAACTTTACCTACTCAGTGGATTAGTTGGGGAGATTTAAAAAATACTAATGCCTTAGAGATCAGAATGAAGTGGTTTGGAATGTCATCTAAACTTTTGAAAGTCCCCAAGTGATGCTGACTCTCAGCCAAGGCTGAAGACTACTGCTCTGGGGCATGGGGTGTGAATCCCACAGCGGGAAACTGATAGAAGATTTGAAATGTTGGTCTCTGAAGTTGGGGAAGGCTGTCCTTGAGGAATGGGGACAGGGTGTTCCTAAGGAAGGGAAGGAAATTTTCCCGAGAATTGCAAAGTTGTATGCCAGGGAATGGAGGAGAGTGTCATTACGCTATCCAAGGAAGTTATCTTGAGAGAATGAAAAGCCTGTCTAGGAGCCTGACTAGAGGGAGACAGTCCATTTGGGAATAGGGTTCCGTGAGGCCTCACAGCAGAGGAGGTAAAAGCAAGAACTTTAGGGGTCAAGTCCTATTTGGCTACCAACCAGATGTGTCCTCTTGGGCACATTGCTCAGCCTCCCTATGCCTCAGTTTTTTCATCTCTAATGGGAGGTTGTAATACCTGCCTCAGGGATATTGTCAGAATTAAATGAGATAATACAACTGTTGAGGATGGGGAGTCTGTAGGAGAGCACTGGGGGTTAAGTTGGAGAATGGAAGGTCCTGAGGAACGGTGGTGACTGCTGATGTGGGGCATGGGGTAGGGGAAAGGCAGAGAGGGCTGGATCCAAAATCTGTAAAAGTCACAGCGTGGGGCCTGGAGATACCCTGCAGGCGCCGCCAGCCTCCAGGCTACAGAGACACAGGCGGAGGGGGGGAGGCCAGCGGAGGAGAGGTTTGACTGCTAGTAACCTCTCAAGTGCTGCAGTAAGGAGAAGCCTCAGCTGTGGCAGCAGCGCCAGCAGCCTCCCCTCCCCTCCGTCACTGCTGTGTGACAGGTGGGAACTTAAAAGTTCAGGTCACGTGTCTCAGCTGGTTAACCTACTTACCTCTTGAAGACTGGGGCCGGGGCAGGCAGGGGCCAAGAGGAATTGCCTGAAAAAGGAGCAGAGCAGGGGAAAGCCCCAAGAGTGCTCTGGGGACCTACGTTTGAAGGCTTGTGGGGTGAGGGAGAGAATGCACACATGTGTGAAAAGATAACAAAGTCAGTACCTGGGAGCCCCGCACATGCCCTGGCACACATGTGCCTCCAGCATCAGGCATTGCTTGTCTTAAAGGGCCGAATTTACCTGAGAAAATATTTCTACACTTGGAGCAGGTTGAGCTCTGGGTACCAGTTTAACTTTGGAGCTGCCTGCAAGCTCTCCCAAAGCTGCCTCCCTTTTTAACTAGTCTCCTTACCCTTAGAGAGGGAAAGGGGAGACATGGGGTGGGGGTGTGGAGAGGGAGGAGGATGTCTCAAGACTCTTGCTTTCAGAGTCTTTTTATCTATTTTGGGGATGCTCCAGGGGAAACCTGAAGTCAAGGGCCAGAACCGAGGGAAATTGCTGGAGGGAGAAGTGCAGACGAGCTGACAGCTCCACAATCCTTCTAGAGTGATAAAATTCTGCACCCCAATCCCCCTCCCCCTCCCCCACCACCTTTGTCTAGTCTCTAATCCAGGGACCCATCTCCGCTGAGTGACTTCAGTTCTCCTTTCCTCTCGTTTCCTTGGAACGGCTCCAAGTCGGCCGTTCGCTACCAATCTCCAGTCCTAGGTCCACAACTGCACCCGCTCTGGCCGCCGCCTCGCAGGCGCGGCTCTCTTGCCATCCTCGCCCACCGCGAGCTGCGGGGCGGTGCGGGCCCTTTAAGAATAGCGGGACCGGCGAGCAGCAGCCTGGAGAAGAGCACAGCCGCCCGGAGGGTTCCGGAGAACAAAGCGCCGAGGACCGGGCTCAGCGAACCGAATGTGCGGGGTCAAGCTGAGTCCGCGCGAGCCCCAATCGCCCCTCCCCAATCTTGTCATCTCTATTCTGACCTGAGGCCCGGGCCCTCCCCTGTCTCCCTCCCCACCCCGGCCCCGCCCCGGCCCAGCCGCCGGGACCGGGAGCCGGGACGCCGGTGCCGCAGCCGAAGGCAGGTAAGGAGGACCTGGAATCTCTATCCCGGGCCCGTGGCAGCGCTAAGCATCTCGGCTCCGCAACCGCCCGGGGGCGCGTCAAGGTGACTAGGCAAGCAGAGATGGGAGGACTTGATCCCGCCAGGGGGTCTCAGTTGGTGGTGGGGGCTCTGAGTCCCGGCGGTGAGCCTGTCTTTGTGGAGAGTCCGGGGCGCGCGGGCCCAGGGGCGCCGGCGGGAGGGGCCGAGAAGGGCGTTGTGCCCAGGGATGGGGAGGGGGACGCAGCGCGAGGCCCAGAGCCTCCTCTGCCTCCGCCTTCCCCTGGTCCACCCTGCGCTCGTTCAGCTATCCTGACCTCAGCGGGCAGCCTCTGCCAGCCGCCCCTATCGTCCTCCCCGCCTCCCCCTCCCCCGCCCCCCAACCAGTTCCCAGGGGCTGCTGGCCTGCGGGTAAGGAGATTAGAGCCACCATAGGGAGGAGGGAGCGGGTAAGGGCTTCGAGGGGCCGAGCTGGGGCCAGGCTAGGGCTGGGGCTGCCCGGGACCGAGGAGAGGTCGGGTTGCTGCGCCGGGAGTGAGGGTTGGGGGAAGATAGATGCTCTCGCGGTGGGATATGAAGTGCTCCCAGTAGCCTATCTACCCCGAGAAGAAAGCGGGGATTGAAGGCAAGGGCAGCATTAGAAAGCAAGGGAGTTCCGAGTCGGGGATCGGGGGTCTGCCCCAC